ACTGATTTATCGGTTAATTGGCTTTTTAATTAATCGATTATTTTTGATTTTTCAAAGATAATCAAGTAGTCGATTTTAAAGGAAATGACAAAAAATATATTGTTTGAAAATAATCTATTGATCGAAAATAATCGATTATTTTCAATTATCTATAATTTATTTCGATAATCACTCATCCCTAGCGACCAAATGACTTTTAATAGATTTAAATTTTAAAATGTTATCTGGTTTCAGACATATGCATTTCTAGAGTTTTATGTGACTCATCCTTTATAATAATTAATATTCTTAAAGAAAGAAGCCTTAATATACTTTTTCTGAGGTTACAATACAAAACAGCATTTTTTCATTTTGACTAATTTTTAATAATATGTAATAGCCGTAGAAAAAATATAATGTTCAACTCATAAGGGTAGATTTGCAGTATTAGCCTGCGCACATGCTATTTTTATAATACTCGTAGACAATGAGTAACATTTTTTGCTCTATTAACAATATATTCTATTTCAACATTTTACTGTAATCTCTTGCAGAAAAGTCCGTAGTAAATAAACGCTAACGAAATATTCTATAAAAGGTCTTCTCTTTACATAAAATGTCGTGGCATCTGTTTGATATTAAAAAATCACGATAATTTGATTTCATAATACAAAATTCGATTAAACACCTTTTAAATAAACCTAATAGTTCATTAAGTTGCTAATAAACAAAGTCCGGTCCCTGTCACAGAGTTCGGGTCGCCGCGTGTCGCCGCCCAGTTCCCCCACTCCGTTAACCCTTCTTTAGAAATGGGCAACATTTGCGCAGGTTTAAAACCGGTGTATGTTATATCTCTGGTCTCTTTCATCTAAGCTCAGATGTTATATTAGCAGATGAGAGCCGTACCAGAAATATGGTATAACATGAGCAGGGCCGACTAGAGGGGGTGGGGGTAGCCGGGACTAATTCCCGGGGTCCGGGCTCAAATGGGGGCTCGGCAGCGGTATAAGGAGGGCCCGGCAGCGGTGGTGTTTGTTACTTTCAGAAGTTTGACACAAGATAGGGAAAGTTCTTTCTTTTTTTTTAGAGAAATTCAAGTAGAGGAGGAGAAATTTTTGCTTGAGGATCTTTTGTTATATAATGTTTTATAAAATTGTCGCGGGACCCGATCTGGAGAATTGTCCTGGGCCCGGCCTGGCTCTTGGCGGCCCTGAACATGAGATTATCAATTAGATTAATATATTTAAATATTAGAATAGTCTAATTAACATTAATCTATTATACTATCACAAACATACCGTGAACAGTAAAACAACATATTATCGCGTCTTTTTTTAGGAAGCCATGTATTTTTTTATACTAAAAACACGACTCCACGCGTGCGGAGCCGCGGGGCAACAGCTAGTAATCTATCATATATTATAACCATTTATTTTCAATATGAATCAATTTGTTCGAGATTTTAATTTTAATCCAATAAGTACGATGGAATGTAAAAATATTTTAGAAGTTAATAAATATTTAAATAAATATAATAAAACTCACTTTAAAATACTACATCAAAATATACAAAGTATCAACAAAAATTTAGATGAATATAAAATAAATTTGGAGCAAATTACATGTAATTTTGAATTAATTGTTTTAACAGAAACCTTTAAAATTCTTGATATTAATTGTCATAAACTTAAAAACTATATTACTCTATATAATGAAGGAGATTATAACAGAAATGATGGAGTAGTGGTCTATGTTAAAAAAGATATTGAATACACAGCAAAAATAATAAGACTAGCGCATTGTAAAGCGATTGAACTACAAATTAAAACCTCACAAAATAAATATATTCTTGTTACCTGCCTCTATAGGTCTCCCGCTGGAGATAAAGACGAATTTTTAAATGCACTGCAAATATACCTAGAACAAACAAAAGCATACCTAATAGAAGAGCATTATTTTGTAGGAGATATAAATCTGGATATATTGAAGGAGGAGAGGTGGGATCCGGTAAGTGAATATTTAGATATAATGGGAGAATACAATTTTGTCTCATTATTAAATGCTGTAACTAACGAGCAGGGTGAGTCTACTAGTTGTATTGATCACATTTTTGTCAAAACTAGAAAAAACGAAAAACTTACAAATTGTTTATCCTTAACATACGCCACATCTATTTATAATGATAAAACTGTTATTGGGGGTTTGGAATTAGATTACAATAATAAAAATACGAACACTAGTATTAATATCAATAATAATAATAATAATAATAATAATAATAATAATAATAATAATAATAATAATTTAAAATTTAAGTTTTATACCAATTATGAAAACTTAAAAAAAGATATAGTAAACTATTCTTGGGCATCTTTTTACTCTTCTACAGATCCAATTTTTCTTTCTACATATTTACAAGAAACTATTAGTAACTTAGTAAATAAAAACACAACTAAAATAAAACTTAAACGGGAAAGGCAACCACGAACTGAATGGATCACTGAAGGGATAATAACATCTATTAAAACAAAAGCTAATTTATATAATTTACATAAAGCTGATCCTCAAAATAATCAAAAAAAAAAATGCGTATACAACATTTAGAAATAAATTAAACAAAATAATAGTACAGACAAAATCTAAATACTTTCAGAAAAAAATTGATAATAATACGGGAAATACTAAGAATTTATGGAATATTGTAAATAATGTATGTGGAGTAAATAGAGAACAATTTGTAAAAGAAATACAATCTGCTGATGGAGAGATTTTAACAGATCCCTTTCGTATAGCAAACTATTTTAACAATTATTTTGCGTCGGTAGGAGAGAGTTATGCAAAAAATATTAATAAACCCCAAACAAGTAAACCGAAAAGAGCTACTATCCAAAACTAATTTTTTATGACACCAGTGGAAAAACATGAAATTCTAGACATAATAAACGAACTAAAGACTGGAAAAGCACCGGGAGAAGATAAAATAAAGGGAACTACTGTTAAACTAATTTCCAAAGAAATAGCGCCACTACTGGTCCATTTAATAAATAAAATATATGACACAGCTATAGTTCCGCCTAGTTTCAAGAAGGCGGTAGTAGTTCCGATATACAAAAAAGGAAGTAAAAGTGAAGTAGGAAACTACAGACCTATCTCACTCATTAATACATTTTGTAAAATTTTTGAAAAATCTCTAAAAAATAGACTATCACATTATTTTGAAAAAAACTCAATTATATCAGATCTACAATTTGGATTCAAAAAAGGAATATCGACAAATGATGCAACTGCTCGTATAATCGGTGAACTATATGATCGTATGGATCTTGGGAGACCCACCTTGGGTGTTTTTCTGGACCTTGCCAAGGCATTCGATACGGTGGATCATACACAATTATTTGATGCCTTGGAGGATGCAGGTATACGAGGCTTAGCAATGAACCTTTTAAAAGATTATTTAAACGATCGTAAACAATCAGTAAAAATCGGCGAATCTATAAGTAAAGAAAATATTTTAAGTTTTAGGACCGTTGCTATTTTCCATATATATAAATGGGTTACTTACCCAAAATTTTGTGGGAAAAGTTTATAGTTTTGCCGACGATACTGCAATCTTGTATTCCTCTGATTCATGGGAAAATTTAAAAACTGTAGCTGAAAATGATTTGGCAAGAGTAATTAACTGGTTCGATCATCACCTATTGACTATAAACTTCCAGAAAACTTACTTTATTCCATTTGCGAGTTACGAGAATCACTTACCGTCTTACACCTTCCTTAATATACCTGGAAAACTTTCAAAAATTCATGTTAAAAATAACATTAAATACTTAGGAATAACTGTAGACTCACATTTGAGATGGGACCACCACATCCTACAAGTAACAAAAACTTTAAGAGTTATGATGTATACATTTAAATATTTTAGTAATTTACTACCGTTAAAACATTTAAAAATATTATATCATGCATTCATAGAATCACGACTTCAATATTGTATTTTATGTTGGGGGGGTTGCTCGAATAGCCACCTGCGTAGATTAGAAGTCTTACAAAAAAAGATCTTAAAAATAATCTACAAAAAACCATGGATATACTAGACAGATTTCATTTTTCAAGAAAGTAATGTATTTGATATCAGGCAGTTGTTTTACTTTAATGTTATCATATACACCTATAAAAATAAGTCTCTCCTACAAAATATAGCTCATTCTTATGATACACGTCAAAAACGCAATAATTATGTCGCTACAATTTTAGTAAGAAAAACCATAGGAATGAAATGTTATACTTACCTTTCAGCTAAATTTTTTAACAACCTACCTGAAATTTATAAAACCTATTTTCTGACGATAAATAGTCTAAATTTATTCAAAAAATATCTTAAGAAATATATTTATTTAACAGACAGACATCTTATTCACTATATGATAAATAACTAAATTACATTGGGTTTGTATTTTATATTTAAATATTAATTTTACATCTTATATTATATCCCTTACACAACCGTTAAGGTTTCTTAGGGATTCCTGTTTATTTTATGTTTGTAAACCTTTAGGTACACATTTAATTAACTATATTGTCCTATCATGGTATTAATTTAAGATTCTTATTATTTGTTAATTAAGCTTTAAACTATATCTTGTATTTACATGGTACACATAAAGAACAATGAGAAATGAAAAATAAACATTATCATACTAAATATTTTAATATGTAGTAACCAAAAAACAAAAATATTGTAAAACCTGTAAATGTTTTCTGGCAAAATAAACATTATTATTATTATTATTATTATTATTATTATTATTATTATTATTATTATTATTATTATTATTATTATTATTATTATTATTATTATTATTATTATTATTATTATTATTATTATAAAGCAAAAAATTAGTTACGTAAACCAATCTTAACTTGACTTGAGGTTTTTAGGTTTAATTAATATTTGAATAATAAGCATAATCAACAAGAATAAATTTATTAAAAAAAACATACAAATCAAATATTTAAAAAATATATCGAGTAGCTGGGACTATCGGGTTGAGACTATCGGGTTGCTACATAATCCAAGATAGCATTGCGCCTCAGACGTAAGAAAGAATGTGATATCTAAAACAGAAAACACACAGTATAAGTATAAAAATAAACGTGAAAAGTCCACAACAAAAACCATCAAGTTCTATGAAATCAAATTTTTCAGGAAAGCAAAAATGGACTCTGATGTTTATTGCATTCTATACCCGTTCTTTGGAATGCGATTTCAAAGGAACCGTGATGGTTTTTTAATGGTTTATTTTCTCACATGATACTATTGCTTAAACACCAAAAGATGCCATTGACTCAAAATCACCTAAAAATGGAATTTGATGATTTTGCAGTGTCCCTTCAAATATATTAATCAATAATAAACTGATTAAATAAACAAATATTAGAAATTAAAAATTAAAAAAAACCGACTTCAAAAACGTGCCATCACCACATCTTAACCAAATTTATATGGGACCACCCCTGAGGTACCCCCTTACTAACAAAAAAGAATCATATAAATCGGACAAGGTGGTAAAGAATAATCGATGAACATACATAAAAAAAAATATGGCGACGAATTGATAACCTCCTCCTTTTTTGAAGTCGGTTAAAAATAGAACCAAAGAGGCATAAAATACTTTTTTTGATAAATGAATCCGTTTTTAATGTCCTCTGGTTTGTTTCAATATGGTTTTACTGCAACATGTGGCATATACGAGTCTAACTCGTTACTGGAGTCTTGTTAGGAAAATCGCCGAGACAGGTCGATTTTTGATTTCTACAATGTACATTTTTGTATGAATAGTTTACCCTAAATTTCATCCCTTACTGGAGGGGAGCAACCCTTTCGAAAAATTTAAATGTCATGGGGTGGTGAGTGATAGCTCATTTGAAAGAGGGTTTTATTCTCTATTCAACCGTGTAAAAAAATTTTAAATTTGCTTCATTAATTCTCGACTAATTGTTGTTTCAGAATAACGGAAATTAACGTAGCGCACTCATCCTTAGAATTAAAATTCGGCCCTGCATGACTTCGGTTTTGGTTCAGACGTGAAGTAAGACTTTTTGCCATTAGAAGGTCACTGTTAGTCTAGTTGCTTTCCTATTTTGTGAGGTTTTGTTATTTTTAAACATTAATAAATCAACATGTAATGATGCAAATTTTTTTTTGCACGGTTGAATAGAGAATAAAACCCCCTTTCAAATGAGCTATCACTCACCACCCCATGCCATTTAAATTTTTCGAAAGGTTTTTTACCCTCCAGTAAGGGATGAAATTAAGGGTTAACTAATCATGCAAAAATGTACATTGTAGAAATTAAGACTTAAGATGCTCACTGTATGTGATTCCGTAAAACACAGTTTATGAAACGCTGTGCTAGAATCCAAAACTGCCTACTGACATCCATATAGAAAGTTTAAAACTTACCAATACATAGCATTTATTCGATGTCTAAATCATTTGAAGTTAATAACAGTTCTTTCGATGAATATTTTCTGTCCAGACACAAAAGGCTATTTCAAAACTAATTTGAAGGCAGTCCATCCGGTACGCTACCAAGAACTGTTAGGAAATAACACAAATATAAGGGGTTATGATGGACAAGTAATGTTATTTTTAACAGACATGTTATTTGTCAACAGGTTGTTATTTCTGTGTGTTTATAAAATAACAGACCTGTTAAAAATAACACAGATTGTCAATCATAACCCCGATAATGGAAAACAAGCTTACAAAGCTCAATCATAGTATAGAGAACAATCAGTAGTGCAACTCTCGAGCGGTACCTTTGATATGGGTAGCTATTCTTGAATTCGAGGGAATAGAAAACTGTTTCTCCTCTTTATCTGCAACGCAAAAAAATTGCATTTTTGTCTCATTCTTCCCACAAAATTTCTACTTCCTGAGATTCAAGAATACGCACGAGTCACGATTTTCCACAAGGAGGAAGAGGTTTGTCAGACGACACCATTTTGTTAGGATCATTCACAGATCCGGGTTCGCAGTTTAAGATAATTTTTATATATCTGTACGAAACTTTTTATACAAAATTATAATAGCACACTTAAAATTACAATATCTTTGATCTCTCATCTGAAATTGAGACTGCAATAAATTTCAAGTACAAAAGATGTGTGATAAAACATACTATGTGATATGATATATAATTTTGAATATTTATCAATAACGGATGTGAGATCACCACTGAAAAGAAAAATAACACTTGACAACACCACTAGCAGAAGATTAGAAAAAAAAAAGGATAATTTCCTGACCGTAGCAGAATTTTATATAAATAAAAATTTCCTTGGTTTATTCGGTCATTGTTTTTAGATTTCGAATATACCTTCATACGCTGAAAGAGAAAGATGGGGTTCAGTTATTTTAAATTTTTTTAAACTGTTTGTGATCGTCCCCTTGTTTTTTTTTTATTTTATAAATTTTGACTGTACCCGAAGATGAAAAAAAAAAATCCGAAACATATGTAGTGCTGTGCTAAACGATTGAAAATAAAAACAATGACCGAATAAACCAAGGAAATTTTTATTTATATAGAAAAAAAGGTACTGCACAGAATGTCTTCCCAATAAAATTATTTCAAAGAAAATGGCGACGCAAACGATGTAGTTCTGATGCTTAGACCTTTTCAAAAATTTGAGTCGCAATACCGATTGTTCTCTATACTGTGGCTCAACTAAATAAATTCACCTGTACCTGTAATCGTAATATTTCTTTTCGACTATGACACCCTGACAATAATCAATAATCCATCTGTCATTACCATCTTTCACCACATTACACTATTGCAGCGACACTGAAATAGCGGACGTGGTTGATTTTACATATTATGCCTAGACTAGACTGATCTCTTCGCCCGTATTTTCCGATGATTCCGCACAAGTAGTCTGCCATAGTGGTGGAATATTCATCTACTACTATATCGCCTGGTACAGTTTTTGAAGTCGATGCGGCCACCACAGCTAAGGGAACAGACAGAATTTTGGCGTAGATGCATCAAATTCGATAAAGTTTCCTTAAGTTCCTTATTTTGATACATAACATTTTTGAGAATCAGAAACTGCTGAGTCGCCAGCTCTTATAGTTGACCCTGTTGTTCAGGAAAAGACTCACAAATCCCGTAAAAAGCACATCTCTCCAAATTTTTTCTCATCTGCCGCTATTCCAACTTCGTCACTTGAAGATCGTATGCTGTTGCGTTCTAAATTGGCGAAAACGGCTACGAAAAAAATTACACGAGGCAGCTAACAAAATTTTAAAAATTATATTAATAGGAAAACACTGAATGGACACCAGAAACGAAAACAAAATACCAAGAACCCAAGGACAAAGAATTCGAACGACATAAAACCGAAAACATTAAAATACCAAGAAGAGACGGGCAAATCACCAGAAAAGAAAACAAAATACCAAGAAGAGGCGAACAAAAAATCGAACGTCATGAAAATGAAAACCCTGAATGGGCACTTGAATTAACATTAAAGACAGTTTTTCATAAACCAAAAACTCAGATACCTGTCTCCTTAGAGGTACCAACCACTTTTTCAAGGCAGGATTACAAACACCAAGAGACAAATATTTCCCCTCGTAAGAGTACTTGCAGTGTTTTTGAGAAATGAAACTGAAGTCTATAGACAATGTAACGAGGATTGGAATGCAAGGGTAAAAAAAAAATTACAACTGAGAAATCGGCTATGGGATATTGTGAAGAAAAAACCATGAACAGAAATTAACTCAAGATGATAAACTTTTGAAAGAAAAGAAACCAAAATACCAAGATCCTGGGGGCAAAAATTCGTACGACATGAAAACGAAAACACAGAATGGACACCAGAAAAGAAATCAAAATACCAAGAACCCAAGGACAAAAAATTCGAACGATATGAAACAGAAAATACTAAATGGACACTAGAAAAGAAAGCAAAATACCAAGTGCATACAGACAAATAATTCGAACGACATACAGAAGAATATGCTGAATGGATAACAGAAAATAAAACCAAATACCAAGTATAGACGGGCAAATCACCAGAAAAGAAAACAAAATACCAAGAAGAGGCGAACAAAACATCGAACGACATGAAAATGAAAACCCTGAATGGGCACTTGAATCAGCATTAAAGAAACAGCTCTTAGACAGTTTTTCATAAACCAAAAACTCAGATACCTGTCTCCTTAGAGGTGCCAACTACTTTTGCAAGGCAGGATTACAAACACCAAGAGACAAGTATTTCCCCTCGTAAGAGTACTTGCAGTGTTTTTGAGATATGAAACTAAAGTCTATAGGCAATGCAACGAGGATTGGAATGCAGGGGTAGAAAAAGATTTCAATTGATAAATCGGCTATGGGATATTGTGAAGAAAAAACCATGAACAGAAATTGATTCAAGATGATAAACTTTTAAAAGAAAATAAACCAAAATACCAAGAGCCTGTGGGAAAAGAATTCGTACGACATAAAAACGAAAACACAGAATGGACACCAGAAACGAAAACAAAATACCAAGAACACAAGGACAAAGAGTTTGAACGATATGAAACCGAAAACATTAAAATACCAAGTTCAGCCGGGAAAATCACCAAAAAAGAAAACAAAATACCAAGAACAGGCGTACAAAAATTCGAACGATATGAAAATGAAAACCCTGAATGGGCACTTAAATCAGCATTAAAGGAACAGCTCTTAGACAGTTTTTCATAAACCAAAAACCCAGATACCTGTCTCCTTAGAGGTGCCAACTACTTTTGCAAGGCAGGATTACAAACACCAAGAGACAAGTATTTCCCCTCGTAAGAGTACTTGCAGTGTTTTTGAGATATGAAACTAAAGTCTATAGGCAATGCAATGAGGATTGGAATGCAGGGGTAGAAAAAGATTTCAATTGAGAAATCGGGTATGGAATATTGTGAAAAAAAAAACCATGAACAGAAATTTACTCAAGACGATAAACTTTTAAAAGAAAAAAAAACCAAAATACCAAGATCCTGTGGGCAAAGAATTCGTACGACATCAAAACGAAAATACAGAATGGATACCAAAAAAGGAATCAAAATACCAAGAACCTAAGGACAAAGAATTCGAACGATATGAAACCGAAAATACTAAATGGACACCAGAAAAGAAAGCAAAATACCAAGCGCATACAGACAAAGAATTCGAACGACATACAGAAGAACACGCTGAATAGATACCAGAAAATAAAAACAAATACCAAGAACAGACGGGCAAATCACCAGAAAAGAAAAGAAAATTATAAAAAGAGGCGAACAAAATATCGAACGACATGAAAATGAAAACCCTGAATGGGCACTTGAATCAACATTAAAGGAACGGCTCTTAGACAGTTTTTCATAAACCAAAAACCCAGATACCTGTCTCCTTAGAGGTGCCAACTACTTTTGCAAGGCAGGGTTACAAACACCAAGAGACAAGTATTTCCCCTCGTAAGAGCACTTGCAGTGTTTTTGAGATATGAAACTAAAGTCTATAGGCAATGCAACGAGGATTGGAATGCAGGGGTAGAAAAAGATTTCAAATAATAAATCGGCTATGGGATATTGTGAAGAAAAAACCATGAACAGAAATTGACTAAAGACGAAAAACTTATGAAAGAAAAGAAACCAAAATACCAAGATCCTGGGGGCAAAGAATTCGTACGACATAAAAACGAAAACACAGAATGGACACCAGAAACAAAAACAAAATACCAAGAACACAAGGACAAAGAATTTGAACGATATGAAACCGAAAACATTAAAATACCAAGTTCAGCCGGGCAAATCACCAGAAAAAAAAACAAAATACCAAGAACAGGCGAACAAAAAATCGAACGATATGAAAATAAAAACCCTAAATGGGCACTTGAATCAGCATTAAAGGAACATCTCTTAGACAGTTTTTCATAAACCAAAAACCCAGATACCTGTCTCCTTAGAGGTGCCAACTACTTTTGCAAGGCAGGATTACAAACACCAAGAGACAAGTATTTCCCCTCGTAAGAGTACTTGCAGTGTTTTTGAGATATGAAACTAAAGTCTATAGGCAATGCAACGAGGATTGGAATGCAAGGGTAAAAGATTTCAATTGATAAATCGGCTATGGGATATTGTGAAGAAAAAACCATGAACAGAAATTGACTCAAGACGATAGACTTTTGTAAAAAAAAACAAAATATTAAGATCCTGCGGGCAAAGAATTCGTACGACATGAAAACGAAAACACAGAATGGACACCAGAAAAGAAATCAAAATACCAAGAACCCAAGGACAAAGAATTCAAACGATATGAAACCGAAAATGCTAAATGGACACCAGAAAAGAAAGCAAAATAACAAGTGCATACATACAAAGAATTCGAACCACATAAAGAAGAACACGCTGAATGGATACCAGAAAATAAAAACAAATACCAAGAACAGACGGGCAAATCACCAGAAAAGAAAAAAAAAATACCAAGAAGAGGCGAACAAAAAATCGAACGACATGAAAATGAAAACCTGAATGGGCACTTGAATCAGCATTAAAGAAACAGCTCTTAGACAGTTTTTCATAAACCAAAAACTCAGATACCTGTCTCCTTAGAGGTGCCAACTACTTTTGCAAGGCAGGATTACAAACACCAAGAGACAAGTATTTCCCCTCGTAAGAGTACTTGCAGTGTTTTTGAGATATGAAACTAAAGTCTATAGGCAATGCAACGAGGATTGGAATGCAGGGGTAGAAAAAGATTTCAATTGAGAAATCGGGTATGGAATATTGTGAAAAAAAAAAAACCATGAACAGAAATTTACTCAAGACGATAAACTTTTAAAAGAAAAAAAAAACCAAAATACCAAGATCCTGTGGGCAAAGAATTCGTACGACATGAAAACGAAAAGACAGAATAGACACCAGAAAAGAAATCAAAATACCAAGAACCCAAGGACAAAGAATTCAAACGATATGAAACCGAAAATGCTAAATGGACACCAGAAAAGAAAGCAAAATAACAAGTGCATACAGACAAAGAATTCGAACCACATAAAGAAGAACACGCTGAATGGATACCAGAAAATAAAAACAAATACCAAGAACAGACGGGCAAATCACCAGAAAAGAAAAAAAAAATACCAAGAAGAGGCGAACAAAAAATCGAACGACATGAAAATGAAAACCCTGAATGGGCACTTGAATCAGCATTAAAGGAACGCCTCTTAGACAGTTTTGTCATAAACCAAAAACCCAGATACCTGTCTCCTTAGAGGTGCCAACTACTTTTGCAAGGCAGGATTACAAACACCAAGAGACAAGTATTTCCCCTCGTAAGAGTACTTGCAGTGTTTTTGAGATATGAAACTAAAGTTTATAGGCGATGCAACAAGGATTGGAATGCAAGGGTAGGAAAAGATTTCAATTGAGAAATCGGCTATGGGATATTGTAAAGAAAAAACCATGAACAGAAATTGACTCAAGACGATAGACTTTTGTAAGAAAAGAAAACAAAATATTAATATCCTGCGGGTAAAGAATTTGTACGACATGAAAACGAAAACAGAATGGATATCAAAATACCAAGAACCCAAAGACAAAGAATTCGAACATTATGAAACCGAAAATACTAAATGGACACTAGAAAAGAGAGCAAAACACCAAGTACAGATAGACAAAAAATTCGAATGACATAAAGAAGAACACGCTGAATGGATACCAGAAAATAAAAACAAATACCAAGAACAGACGGGCAAATTACCAGAAAAGAAAACAAAATACCAAGAAGAGGCGAACAAAGAATTGGAACGACATGAAGATGAAAATATTGAATGGACATCATAAAAAAAAAACAAAAAAACCAAGAACAGACGAATAAAAAATTTAAACGACATGAAAACGAAAACAGTGAATGGACATCAGGAAATGCAAAATACCAAGAATAATAGGAACGTTCTCACCCGTATCTCCCGATGATTCCGCAGAATTCCTAGGTGCCATGGTGATGGAACATCCATCTACTACGTTTCCTAGTACAGTTTTTGATATCGATACGGCCACAGCAGCTAAGGGGACAAACACAGAATATCTGCGTGGATGCACAAACTTCAATAATGTTTCTTTTGGTTCCTGTTGTTGACTCATAACACTTCGGAGCATCAATGCCTAATATCACCAGCTCTTGTAGTTGATCGAACGTTGTTTGACTCACAAACCCCGTAAGTCGTACCTCTCGCCAAATTGTTCCTCGTCACAATATCGTCACTTGAAGATCGTATGCTGTTGTATTCTAAGTTGGTAATGCTCAGAGAAAACTGGTTTTAGAAAATCTATTTCAAAATCTGTGAACAAAAAAATTAATGCTAACAAAATTCTAATAAATTACACTAATATAGTATATAGTATAAATATGGAAATTTTTTCACTCTTCACTACGCTCTTAATATGAAGTAAAAATTAAAATTTTCACTTTTCTCACACCCTGTAAAATTTGAAGTTAATATCAAATTTTTTTCTTTAAATTGTCAGGTAACAAAAGATCTACTTTGAGATAAAATTTAAAATGTCTATTTCAATTTTTAGAGTATAATACGATACTTTTTCGTAGTCAAAAATGAAGAATTTTTTAGCGATTTTTTTATTAATACTACGTCACTGGATTTAGAGTGCCTTCTAATAGCTTGACTAAAATTTGATAAAAATATAATTATTGATAACGAAATTATGACCACTTAAAATTCGAAAACTAACTAAGGTAACGGTCACAAAAGAACACTCAATATCAAGAGATAGCCATGGAAATTATTTATTCTAATAAAGAATAGTAGGAGTAGATAACATCACATCCAGATGGATGGCTCAGCTGTTATCTACGAGAACTGGAGAGACACAGTTAGGACAGGACACCATCCCCAACTGCACAACCAGAGAATGTCTACAAGGAGGAGTTCTATCCCCGCTAATGTGGAGCCTAACCGTAGACGAACTTCTATGCAGATTGACTGACCTCGGCATACCCTGTCAAGCTTATGCCGATGACACAGTCATATTTGCTAGAGGCAAGTTTAGAAATATACTGTGTGATATAGTCCAACGAGGACTAGAACATACCAAAAGATGGTGCCGTGAAGTGGGTATAAACCTTACAAAAACAACACTGGTAGCCTTTTCCAGGAAGAGAAAACTTAATCTCAAAACCGTTAAATTAGACGGGATAGATATAGAATGGAAAAATGAAGTCAAATATCTAGGCCTAACCCTGGACAAAAAACTTCTCTGAAACACACATGAGAAGGAAGTAGTAAATAAGGCCACAAAAGCCCTAATGCTATGCAGAAATATTGCAGGTAAACGATGGGGGTGTAATCCAAACATACTGCGATGGATGTATACTACAATAGTGAGACTAATCACCACTTACGGGGCTATAGCCTTAGAGTAACAGAACTAGTTTAGCAACTACGAGAGCTAATATCTCAAAAGTACAAAGACAAGCCTGTGTTTGCATGACTGGTGCAATGTGAACCTGTCCTACGGCGGCAATGGAGGTGATATTAAACCTCACCCCTCTACATTTGATGATAGAGAATGTGGCAAAAAGGACACGATATAGAATGATCAGGAACGGAGTAATCAGACGAAAGTCTACTTGCGTTAGGACTAAAGATACCTGGGACATGCCCCAGGATGAAATGCTAAAGAAGTACAGTTTTGTGAAAAACTTCAAAACCACTTTGCTGGGCTGCAAGAAAGAATGGAGCCAAGAATCCATCGCGCTTGCAACCGAAAGACGTGCTATTCAGTGGTATATGGACGGTTCCAAAACCATAGAAGGAACTGGAATGGGAGTGTATGCTTTCGGAGTGCTTGGTTCTCGACAACCAAGCACTCCGAAAGCTTGGAAAAATACCCAAGCATCTTCCAGGCGGAAATTCACGCTATCGATAAGTGTATCCAGTTTAACATCGAGAGAAACTATCATAGACAAGAGATTATCATCATGTCCGATAGTCAAGCAGCCATCAAAGCGCTGAGCTCTTACGTAATCAGCTCAAAAATGATCTGGAGATGCCAAGAACAATTGAATGAGCTATGCGAGAAAAATAGAGTTACTTTCACTTGGGTCCCGGACATAACAAGGTACAGGATAACGAGATTGCAGATAGTCTTACAAGGAAAGGGGTTCAAACACCCTTTGTAGGACCTGAGCCGTTCTGCGGTATCAGCAGTAACATAATATTAGGAGAGATTAAAAAAGAATTGGGTAGTAGAAGAACCGATAATTGGAACAATCTCTTGGGGCTAAGACAAGCCAAGATACTTCTGGGTGAATATAACCAGAAAAGATCGGAAGCCTGCATCTGCCTGAGCAAGAACAGGCTACGTATTGTAACAGGGATCCTTACCGGGCATTGCCGACTAAAAGGATACCTAAGTAAACTGAGAGTAGTAGAGGATAGTGAGTGCAGATTCTGTGAGAAGGAGGACGAAACCTCCATTCACATCCTAACTGAATGTGTAGCACTCCAGAATCCAAGGGCACTATATCTAGGAGGATATCAATCAAATAGAAGAGGGAGATTTACCTAACTTGAAGCCACTTCAAATCCTACACTTCCTTGAGAAAATAGGATTGGAAGGGCCGTTATTGGCATTGAGACATTTCCTTGGTGCATTGGCGACAGAAGGAAGCACAATAGATCTTTTAGATCGCAGTGTATTAACACCCCATTCCCAACATAACATAACATTAGGTTTTATTGTATCAGTTTAATTTCGTGTAAAGTTAAAGGTAATTTTAATTAGGTATTTTCGTTAAGTGTTTATGTTTTTTTAATTTTT